AGTTAGAAATCTGGGAGAAATTAATTACAGAGGAGACAACCAAATTACACTAATAATAATACTTAAAATTGATATTGTGGATCTTCAAGGTACTTGGCAAACATATTAGTAATTAATATGAGCTGATATGTTAATATAATTTTAGATCTTGATATTGTTGACCATTCAGAAGGTGACTTTTTGTTAATTGGCTGATTCCAGACTATCCTTTTTGCTTATCATTAATTAGAAATTTTTTACTTGTGGCATTAAAAAATGCATTCACAAGATAACTAAGGTTGGTTTCCCTAATTAAGTTGCTACAGTCATTAAAAAAGTTTATTTTTTTTACTGCGATGGAAAAATTTAAAACAATAATTTACCGGTCTGGTCAACTGCTTTAATTTTAATTTTTTTCTAAAATTACCTAACATTTAAAATCGTTTTTTTCAGTGTGCTTTCAGACCGCAGTTGTCTAAGAGTTACAGCTGGACCACCGTCTATGGACCTTGATGCCAGTGTTCAAAGGACTTTGGAGGACAGCTTAGCAACAGAAGCTTATGAGAGGAGAATAAGGCGCCTGGAGCAGGAAAAACTTGAACTCAGTAGAAAACTGCAAGGTAAAGCAATTAAAGACTGTTTTGTCACTTTCAGTTGGATTAGGCCAGGGGTAGGCAACCTGTGGCATGTGTGCCAATTTTCAGTGGCACTCACACTGCCCGAGTCCTGGACATTGGTCCCGGGGGCTGTGCATTTTAATGTAATTTTAAATGAAGCTTCTTAAACATTTTAAAAACCTTATTTACTTTACATACAACAATAGTTTAGTTATATATTATAGACTTATAGAAAGAGACCTTCTAAAAATGTTAAAATGTATTACTGGCACGCGAAACCTTAAATTAGAGTGAATAAATGTAGACTCGGCACACCACTTCTGAAAGGTTGCTGACCCCTGGATTAGGCTGTAGTTTTTGTGAAGTGCTTTTAATATTGTGGAAAAAAATTAAAATGTTTCCAGGAATGCCTCCCTTTGGAAATTAATCCGATTCATTATTTCTATCGACAAATTACACTTAATCCTAAAGCATCCCATATATGCCACTTACAATCTGTTGAATTCGCTGAAGCCATGGGTTGGTTATTACTCCAGCTGTGAACACTACATACTTATTATCTGCGGGGGAGAAGGAAGGGGGCGGAATCTAGATTTGTGTATTTGGCACCTACTGAAGATGTGTTGGCGCTTTGCAAGTGGAAATTGTATGATTTAAAGTCCGCATCCTACAAAACATTTTCATGTTCTTAACTTTATGTATGCAAGTAATTCCATTGATGCCAGTGGGGATATTCACACGTGTAGGTCTTTACAGCATTGAGCCCTAGTCCGTTTTCAGAGAGGCAGGGAAAGCTACAGTATAATACAGAAATTAGTGTACAACCCCACAAAACAAGGCTTATCTTTAAGTGTAAGGTACAGTATGTTGCTCTTTCTTCTTTAGAGGCATTCAAATGTATGGATTGTTTGGATTTTCTGACGCATCTCTTGTTTCTTTATTTTGTTCTCTTTTCCTGCTTTTGTGAGCACACACACATTATTGTAACCACAATTTAGGCACCAGTGTTTGAAAGTTTAACCAATGTGTTTGTTTAATATACCTCAGCAGACACTCTTTTCATAGATCCATCGAGTTTATAGCCAGAAGGGACCATTAGATCATCTAGTCTGACAGGCCATTGATTTTCATCCAGTTACCCCTTTATTGAATCTAACAACTTGTCTTTGACTAAAGTGTAACTTATGTTTGACTAACACATATTTTCCAGAAAGGCATCCAATCTTGATTTGAAGACATCAAGAGATGGAGAATCTACCACTTCCCTGAGTAGTTTGTTCCAGTGGTTAATCACTCTCTCTGTTGAAATTTGTGCTTAATTTCTCATTTGAATTTGTCTGACTTCAGTTTCCAGCCATTGGTTCTTGTGATGCCTTTCTTTGCTATATTAAAGAGCCCTTTAGTACCTTGTATTTTCTCCCCATGAATATATTTATATACTGTACTCAAGTCACCTCTTAATCTCCTTTCTGATAAACTAAAATGATTGATCTTCTTAAGTCTTTCACTGTAAAGCAGCAGTTCTCCGAACTTCATTGCACCGCGACCCCCGTCTGACAACAAAAATTACTACAAGACCCCAGGAGAGGGGACCAAAGACCAAGCCTGCCCGTGCCTGAACTCTACCACCCTGGGTGGGGGTAGGGGCCCCAAAACTGAAGCCCCAGGGCTTCTGCCCTTGGCGGGGGCGGGGAGGGGGAGGCATGTAACCTTAGCCCTGGGTGGTGGGACTAGGGCTTCGGCTTCAGCTCCAGGAAGTGGGGCTTGGGGTTTGGCCCTGAGCCCCAGAAAGTCTAACACCAGCCTTGGCGACCCCATTAAAATGGGGTCCCGACCCACAGTTTGAAAACCTCTGCTGTAAGGCATTTTCTCCAGCCCTAATTTTTGTGGCTCTTTTCTGCACCCTCTCCAGTTTTTTCAATATCTTTTTTAAAATTTGAACACCAATATCGATCTCACCAATCCCATATACAGAGATGAACTAACCTTTTTATACATCAAATGACTTTATTAGCCCCTTTTGCCACATCATCACCCTGAGAGTTTATGTTCAGTTGCTTGTCCACTATGACTTCTAAATCCTTTTTGGCATCACTGCTTTCCAGGATATAATTTCCTAGATATGATCCGCATTCTTTATTACTAGATGTATCACTTTGCATTTGACTGTATTAAAACACATTTTGCTTGAATGGGCCCAAACTCATCCCAGTTTGGCAAGTTGTATCAGCAATGATTTTATAGTTACTTCCAGATCAGTGATGAAAAATTTGAATAGTAGCAAGCTTAGTATTAATCCCTGTGGAGTCCCATTAGAAACAACACCATTCAGTGATTTCCCCATTAACTACTTTTTGAGATCTGTTAGCTGCCAGTTCTTAATTCATTGAATGTGCTTTATTGATATTGTATAGCACTAATTTGTTAATCAGAATGTTGTGTGGTATTAAGTCAAATGCCTTACCGAAGTCTTAATATGCATCCGAAGAAGTGAGGCTTTAACTCACGAAAGCTTATGCCCAAATAAATCTGTTAGTCTTTAAGGTGCCACCAGACTCCTTGTTGTTTTTGTACATCTATACAGTTGCTTTTATCAGCCAAACTTGTAACGTCCTCAAATAATGTAATCAGGTTTGTTTGACAAGACCTATTTTCCATAAAACCATTTTGATTGGCATTCATTATATTCCTAGCCTTTAATTCTTTATCAA